GCTGCTAGTTTGACTAGTAGGGTGATCTGTGGCTTGGGAGGGCAGGATGTTTTGGATCTTGTAGGTGTGGTTTGAGGGACTTTTGGATCTTGTAGGTGTGGTTTGAGGGACTTTTGGATTGAAAGGGTAGTAAATGATTAACCATGAATACCGAGCTTAGGCTCTTGGGTACAAGAGGGGTGAATATGACCCAGTTTGCTTACCTACTGTCCCGGATAAGGTTGGCATCGGTGTTGCTCAAATATCTAGCGCCAAAGCAACCGATCTCCATGCCACGACCGGAGCCGGTGCTACAGTACCGTAAGGATTTCTCGGGTTTATTGAACGTGAGGCTGGCATTGGGAGGAGTACAGTGCTTGGCATCAGAGCTAGACTACTGTAGCCTTAGTTGTAGGGGCACGGGGTCTCCTTTGTTCCGATGACTTGTGTGGAGATTCGCGCTCCCTTCAAGAGAGTTGCGCTGGTAGTGATTAGGTCGAGACGTCTTCTGTGTTTCGCAACTTGGAATGGAGCAGGGGCAGTCGATGTCGTTTCTAGGAACGGGAGAGTGGAGGGGTTTTATCGTGGATCCTCAGCCTCATGGATGAACGTGCAAAGCCGACTCACACCCGCTGATAAAAACGCCCATCCACTTAGAGAAGTAAACGTGGTGAATGCCTTGCGCTAATCTAGTACAGAATCTGTACTTTGCAGTGCACGAATACCCCTGTGGCCTACCGGTAGTCTGAAAATCTGGGTGGGGAGTCCTTGACATCTGGTTTATTTGCCTTGGCTCTATAGGTATTTCTCTGGCTCCTATCTTTTCCCGAGTTCTGCCTGCTTCCCGATGGCTCAGCCGCATTGCTAGCGGGCTACGCCTTCAATTCCCGCTTCACCACGAGTAGAGGTGCTGAAAATCGTGAGGTGCTGCTCGGCATGCTCTCACAATAGTTTGTCTTTTTTGCGCATAGTTTCTGGGAGTGCACTCTGGCTTCGGGCGCACTTTAGGTTCCACCCACACAGCTCAGCCTTTTCGAGAAAGCGCTTCAGCCGCGGAAATGTGCTTGGAGCAATGCATCCGACGGAAGGATGGAAGGCTGGAAGGAAAGTAGAAAGGCCGTAATGAAGGCCGGAGGCTATGGGTGGCCGGATTTTGTCTTTTACTTTCTTAGCCTCTGTTTGCCAGTGAGTAGGAGACATACCTGGAAGGATAGGACTTAGTTCATTGTTTCGTCGTTGGTATATACTCCTGTCTTTACCGTTAGCTAGTTACGCGCGATAGTGAGAGGTAGACGAAATGAAGAGTTTTCCCCCGCTTGTGAATTGTGCGATCATTTTGTGTGAGATCCTGGAGTTTCGTTTCGTTTCCTGGTTGTGCCGTTTCGCTGTTCACAGGTTGTCGTTTAGTTTCACAGCGTGTCATTCGCTCGTTCCGTCGTCCGTTCGTTCTCTCGGCTATTGTACCCCTACAGCCTCCGCCGATCCAATGTCTGAAAGGGGAAAGCCTGCGCCATATCATTGGCTATGTGCGGGATGTGTTGGTAGGAGGCGAGAACCAGCCTGCCGCCTAAACTACTGCAGTCCGGTGTAACACAGGTAGCTCCGAAATTCCCTGCACGAGCCAAGCCGCTATTGGGAGAAACCTCCCCCCGGGCAACCCTTCTCGGAAGACTGGGTTATACTGAACTATCAGCGCTCGAGAGAAACTTTAACACTTTGTTATGTGTTCGGAACCAATGACTAAAATCGTGTTTCCTAGGATATTTAGTAAAGATGTGCAACAAGTTCAATTCCAATCCCAACCACAACAACTTCCTACATAACCGTAGGTGAGAACATGAACCGTAGACCACCAGACTAGTTCTAATTTATCATTTAAATGAATTTATCAGAAGTTACGTTGTCCCTTGGAGAGGTGGGGAGACGAAATTTAGTAGGAGAAAATATTCACTGTACCAGGTACCCCTCCAGCACATCGCGCGGGTCTCAGGTACCTCCAGATAGCTTGAACAACTTCTAAGGCAGTATATTGATGCATCTAGTTCTAGGGTAATTTGAGAGGGGGTGTTTTATTTCTATATTTACTATTTCCTGCTGCGGTGCCTTCCCGCCCATATATTGAGGTACCTGTATTGCTCTAGTGGTGGGCGTATGAAGGAAACTCCGCACTATCTATCTACTAGGAACCGTCAGATGCTAGTATGTTCAGATGAGATTCCCATCCTTCCTTCCTTTATCTGCAATAAAACGCTAGATCCTAGCTCTTGATTGTACGGGAGAATGCTCGCGCGGGGGGGGGGCTAATTTTGACCCAATTGCACGCCCGAATTCAGCAGCTCCTTATTCTGACGCATCATGAAAGTGTCTGCCGGTTCTCACCAGACATTGCAGTATTACCGGAGGGTATTTGAGAGATGTAACATCCCCGAGCATGACAGGGGTTTTGCCAGCGCTGTTGCCCCAGCTTTCAGGGTTGGGGTTTGGTGTTACCCCCAGCTTGTCACTCCTCCCAGTTTTGCTTTTCCGCAGGTGGGGATTGTATTCCGGCTCTTATGGTGGGTCTGTCGTTGGGCCGATTGCACGTCTTCTGTATGTTGTCCGGCAAGATAACGCGCACAGTGCAGGGTGTAGCGATGGCCACGAAACTCGACATTTCTGTGCTGGACCAAAATATGTCGTCATGGGCCCATCTTGTGTCTCGGAGCCTGTTATTCAAAAAAAAAAAAAAAAGCTGTTCTTATTGCATATGCAATATCTCAGGCGGTCTGAGGGCCCGCATGACAGGGGGTGGATGCCCGCCAATATCCCGGGACAGGGCTGTACTACCGTCTTTTGCCTAGTCAGTACTGTAGGTTCCGCGGGGTGACAGTGTGGTGTTCAGAGGTGGGGTTCGGACGGATGTGGACGGAGGAGAAGCGGTGAGATGCTTTCTGAATATAATTCTCCAAGAAGTGAGCAAGCTGCGGAATACATGCACTGATGTAGAAAACAGAGAAGTTTAAATTGCGAATATACCTTCTGGTCAGAAACAAACTTTTTCTTTTTATTTCTATCCGTTATAGTGCTTCAAAATTTAATAATAAAACTTTTGGCGCCCTCCACAGCTCAAGGGGGGATAGCCGGATGCTTGGAGTAGGAGTATACCCATAATACAACAAGATGGCTGGGTGCTTATTATGAGAAAGAAGGCATACGGAGCCCAAACCGAGTGAGATTACAAGAGGAATGTATATTCTGAGCTGTAGAAAAATAGGGTGGAGCGCCGACTTGTGAGGAATATTTTATCCTCATAGTATAAAGTAGGGCCCAGTAAAGCCATAGATAGAATCATGGCTGATAACAGAGCCTACTGCTTCGTACAAGGCCCCCCGGATGGTAATCCTTCTAGCCTTAGTCCATTAGGTGTAGGGTGCTCTAGCACCCCCCAAAAAAGCCCTACTATAGCCCGTGGTCTCTCAAATCCTGGTCCCCAGACAGGGCAACCGCACCATTGGGAGTACCACGGGCGAGATGTAAACATTTGAATAGTTTCTATGAGATTTGTCCTCATTCCACTGTGTAGATAGAAGGCGTACTCACATTTCGTGTGCGACACTATTTACTACATTGTGTCCCAAGGCCCCGAGAATTAATAAGAGAGGAAAAAATGAACAGATTCTCCTTATATCCTTCCCACAAACTTCCGTTCAAGTTTCTTATCCTTGGACTCCCACCATAGTTCCTCACTCTTTATCTATTCCCGTCATCCGAGTCTTACCATAACACCCAACCCGCTCTGTAACCCCAGTTCGACATCATGTCCTATCACTTAGGAATAGGTTGATGGGTTGTGTTATGAAGCCGGGAGAGGCCAACATTCAGTCGTTGGAGAGAAGAATGGGAGAAGGAGATGTAGTGCCCCGGGGTATGAGGCTTGTGTGAACGGAGGGTGTGCTTTACGGGAATGTAGCGGGGGTGCGGTGGAGGGGAGGGGAAGGAGCATCCATGACATTGCAGATGAGTAGATTCTAAGTGCCAGTCTGTAGACACAGCTGCATCATCGATGCCTAGGAGCTTTCTAGGAACCCTCGGTGGTTTCGAGTGAGGTTCGCTATCGCAGTACTAGGTAACAGCCCTTCACGCACAATACTATCCTCCAAACCCCACCTAGCGCAGAACCGCAACACCTGATTTATTTATTTTTCTATCGTACGGGACGGCCGGGGGTTGTATTAAAGAAAAACCCATACGCGGCATAGGAAAAAAATCGATAGAGCCCTAGTAGATAAGGTATTTGTTTCACGGTGTATATATCAGGTTTAGGGAAACCCTGAGCCATTGCCATGTGCTATTCGGTTCCCCCTAGATTTTAGCGGCCTCTGATATAAAATGAAATACCTTGAAATTGGAGTTTGTCACTGATTTACACACCGCCCCCCCATAATCCAAAACACTCCGTACAGAAATGACCAAACTCTCACCCCCTCCCACCCATCCTCCCCTTGCCCCACCACCTCTGTCTTCGTCGAACGACATCCTCTTCTGCCACCGTACTCTCGCATTTCCGCGCCATAGCACGGCACTCACCCCTACTCAGCAGCTAGGCTCTTTTCCTCGAGTTTTCCACTCTTGAATAAACCTGTCTGACTCGCTGTCACCCTTTCCATGCCGCCCCCGATAATGAGCTCTGAAATTATCGACCCTCGTGAATCTCGCCGTATACTTGCATCCGATCTCGGGACAAACCGGCCCACCGGGCACACCATGCTTTCTGGCGGTCTTGAGGTGTCGATATAAGTCCGGTTGGCGTTTGAATTTTATCCCGCAGGTATAACATGTAGGAGGGCTCGGGCCTGCGTGATTGCTTGACTTGCCCCGCCTCTTACTGTGGCCTGCAGGCCGGCAATGGGGAGGAAGGGGGGAGGGCGCAAGGTTGACGGTGCTGGGGTTGGGGTGTTTCAGGCCCTGGAAACAGCTGGCCGGTGGTTGTTCTTTCCTGGCGGGATAATTGTGGCGAGGATCGGGGTGGTGGCCAGTTTTGTCTATAGCATATCCGGTTGCTTGAGCCGGCGAGGGGCTTTGGATCTGGAAGGGGTAGCCCGGGGGGCCGCCGGACCGGGGGGGTGATATATAGTCAGCCTCTAGCACCGTGTATATGTTCCCGGGAGGGGGATATTGGTATATGAGGTAGTTTTCCCACCTGGGGTCTTGGGTAAGGTTGCCACCTGCGTTGCTCAAATTGGTAAAGCTGGTGTGGCTGGTCTCGATGTAGCTGCCTGAGTTGGGGGTGCCGTACTGTGGAGGTAGCTCAAGGCTGCTGTGCGAGTGGCCGTCATCGGGCAGTATAGTTGCCCCTAACTCTGCACCACTTCGGTCATAACCATAGGTACCAAAACCCATATCGCCCCGATGACTTGAGAGCGGATTGGCGCCGCCTTTAGGGAAGCTGGGTAGGTAGTCATTGAGTCGAGACATTCTATGTTTCTCACGACTTGGAATGGTAAGAGGGAAGGGTTTCTAGGGCACCGGTAAAAGTGGTTTATGGAATCCGAGAGAGCTGAGGAACATGGGGTTTTATCCCAAATTCCCATGCCCGTGGGCAAACTTCTGAACAGAGAAGAAATCATTGAGAGCCAGCATGACAGGGATCGACTGGTAGAATACCCCTGCAATTAATGGCCGAAAGAAGCCCAACCTTAACCATCCACCGACCAAGACGCATTCACCAACATCAAAACACATTCGCCAAGACCCAGGCGTATCCACCGATACCAAGACATATTCACCAATACCAACGCACATTCACCAATACCAAGGCACATCCACCGACCAAGACATATTCACCAATACCAAAACACATTCAGATTTATCCAGGCACATTCACTAAGGCCGGGGTGCGTGCGCCGGTGCCAAAACACATTGAAACCGTCCTTTTTCTACACTACCTACTTTGAGCTATACAGGATGGTGGGGGAAAGGGATACGGGTATTTCGTGGCCTGGGGCCCCCACTATTCTATTCTCTCTCTCTCTCCTCTCCTTTTACTATTTATTTTTTTCGAAAAAAAGAAAAGCCATCCAGAGTTATTCCTTTGTGAATTTCATCTTCCGTGCGTACTTAGAAATCCCGGGGTGGCGCTCGGCATTTTGTAAGCAGAAACCGTATATGCACGCAAGCTAAGTTGTGGTGTAAGCACAATTGTGCCCGAGATTTTCTTTTTCCCCTTCCCCGCCCGGAACCACGGGACCCACTCCAGTGATCTGCAGGCAGAGGAGGCGACGGAGAAGGGGGAACCGTTGGAGAGGGTCAACGTTTGTGCGCACCGTCTTTTGGGGGAAAATTGTGCGTAATCTTATTAGCTAGCGAGAGCGGTGTCTCCAGGTACTCGAGTACAAAGGGCGAGGCAAAGGAAAAAGAAACCACTTCCGGAAGGAGAAAAGATAGACAACCTGCAACCATCCCCTCTGCTGTTGCTGTCGTCAGACTACCTGTACTTGAACAAGGCGCAACACTTGTGATGGAAGAGTAGGTATTATCCTGATTGACCAATACACCCCATGGAAATCAATACAGAGTTGTTGCTTGGAACCCAGGGCAGCTGCATTGGTATTTGTCAGACTTTTTCCAGTAGCATGGATCAAAGATCTAGAAGGACTTCTCAGGCTAATAAGAAATCCCTATGGGACAGATCCGCGATGAGCCCAATTTGGTGATACTTACCTTGCACTATCTCACAATTGGTAGGGCAATACTCTTAATATCCTCTTCCGGGTTTCTCGTGTCTACCTATTGTCGCTTTTTTTGTTTTCGGCACATACACTGTCAACACTCTACGATACCCGTACCGTGCCCCCTATCCCCGTAGGATCTTGCCGCTCTTTTCCCTTCGCATTCCTAACTCACTCTTCCACCACCCTCCGGTCTTGTTATTTTCTTGTCCACCCCCACCCCCACCCCCGCAGAACATTCATGTCATCCACCAGGCCACACCACGAGTAAGGAAACCCTCCCCATGGATCAAAAATTTGTATGGTTAATTTTCCCTGCGCATCTAAGCAGATATACTAAATCCAGACCCAGATATTCCGGTTGGCTGAGCCTAGCGCGGGAAATACGTGTTCATATTCCTACTCATACCAATACCGTCCCCTGGCCCAAGGGGAACATGAGCGAAAGAAAGCTGCATGGTGATAGCCCATTCTGGTGTCCTTGCTGCTATCTCCTGCTTTTTGGAGCCGCCTGTTCTGTCTGATGTCACACTCTTCCCCACCGATCAACCTCTGGCCTGGTCTTACCAATTTAATACCGATATGGGCAGGCGCGTGGAAAGGTCGGGTATAACCGTTGCATCCAACCGGGGAAATATCGAGTAAGCCATTTCAATTAACGAGTTCGGCCCCCGTTGCCAAGCTCGTTTTTCTCCCCCAGATCCCATTTAACCGTGCCAAGGTTCCTGTTGAAATTGTAACACGCAAGAGTTCACAATTTCACAGCACGTCTACGGAGGAATACTCACAGACTGTCGGCAACCTCTTTCCTCCTCAAGCCACCCAAATTAATTTGCGGACGAAAAGCGCAAACCCTGCAGCCATCATACTATTCCGATTTTTTCCCGCGGTTTTTGGGGATGAATCAAGTCCTGGGGTGAAGGTTTCAGCAATTTTCTGGGGATTCTTGGCGCCACTCACCCCCAAAACACACTCTTAAGCGAGGCAGGACAAATGGGCGGGGATTCTTTTTAACTGACTGCAGGGAACACTAAAATATTTAACCCTTCCTTACGTTCGTCTGTCCTCTTTTCGGATTACTTTTTGACTTTTTCCCACCGTTTTATGGTGCGCCAGTGGTGAGGAGATATTTTGCAATGGTTGCTCTTTTTCTGTGGTCTTTAAGTTACGGTATCAGTAATGCCGCCGGATGCGGTGAGAAAGGTCGGAGTGCGTGGGGCGGGAGAAGCGGTTCCCGATTGGCTCAAGCTACAGAACGTCCGAACCAGAATCCCGGGGCTCCCCGGTCCCATTTCCACATCTAGAGATCCTCTTTTGCCGCGGGCTGTATCTCACTGGCAGTACGGTATCCGAAGGGTTTGTTCCAGAGTTCTTGGCGCATGGCGCAGCTATTGCAAAGGTTGACGTGTGTATCCCAACCCAAGGCAGCGTGCGTGCACGGACTATTCCATGTCTCGGTTGTGTCAGTAAAAACCCGAAGCTGGGGGCGGCAGAACAGGGGCCCATGGATCGGGAGGTAAGGTGGCCTTGAAGGCAACCCTCCACCGCGTAACGTGTAGACTACTCGTTGATGCCTTGGATGGGATGAGTTGCGCTGTGGGGTAGATAATGCAGGCGTGGTGGTATAGTTACTTCGACTACGGTTCTGTACTCGCACCCGTACCGGTGGCGGGCGTTACGCCGCAGGCTTAGGGGTAACAGTCTGCAGTGTAACCATTGACCATTCGTAAATTTAGATTCCTGGAATGAGTTAGGCTGGACTGTGTGACATTTAGTGCGGTGATGATGGTGATGATGGTGGTGATGCTGAGTACAGGTACCGGTGGGAGGTTAGTGTACAGGGGACTGAGAGTAAAAATTTGAATAACAAGTGGGGGTATAAGGAGGATACGGTTTGTTACAGCGTCGTGAGAGCCTGTCACTGGTTTTTCCTTAGCTGGATTTTGAACCCACCCTTCTCCTCCTTTTTATTTTCGACATGCTGCGGGTCCTTTGAATACCCATCCCATAATATCGGTTTTGTCTCCCGCTCGCCAACTCTACATGATAGGCGTCTCTTTCGTTCCGAGTTTTACGGATACACCAAAGCTGCCAACTATCCATTCCTTTCTTCCCACCTGCCTCTGCCCCCCCGACGCCCTGGGCGGGATGTATCGATATCCGAAGATACAAGTCGTGACTTTGTATGGGCTCTCGGATGTGTACAGATCTTTTCTGCCATATATCTTGCCAACAGCGGCTTCCGGATGCCCCACGACTGGACCCCCCTCACCACTCCCCGGTTATCAGAACCATTCACACGCCAATACTTGCGGCAATTCCCAGCGCTCCATAACCTGCCTGCCCGCCTTCATACCCTCCCACTACACGACGTTGGGATTTATGTTCATGGCCACTATCGCACACCACTTGTATCCTCATGAGTGATACTCTATGACTGGTTGGGTTACCCCCTCATGTGTGAACCTCCCAGAGGGCGCCGTGTTTCTCTTTCCTATCTATCTTCTCTAAGATCAACAACGCAAAGGCAACTGATTGCTCTGCAAGTACCAGAATTCCAGCTCAAGTCTGCTTGTCCTGCACTCCGCTTCCGTGATATCTTTGAAAGCATTCATCTCACTGCCCATCAGTCCAGAGAGCTGTTCATGCGTTATCACCAGAACGAAAGTTTGCTGAGATCTGTGCTTTGAGAAGGATGGAGGTGGTTTTGGTTAATTTCTGGAAGGATTCTGTCAGGCGGCCCACGGGGCCCGGGGTGTTATCCCACCATTACCTCAGGGATATCTCCCCCCACAGAATGTGACTGCAACGGTATTATAGATAGCTCAGTGACTTCCGAGTAGATGACCAATTCACCGGTCCAATCCAACAAGGGAAGCAACTCCTCTAGACAGCATCGAAGCTGCACGCTAATCCACTTCAACCCGGTATGATAAAAACTAAGAAATTTTTAGAATGTCAACTACTGACCCCCCCCCTCCCCCCTCTGAGCCCGGTAAAACCCAGGTCTGATAGGTTGCGGTTCGCATCGTCCCATTATTTGCTATCACTCGCCTTCGGTCCCTCAGCTCGCGAGGCCCGATCTAAGGAAGTAGCGCTGAGCAAGATCTAAGAATAGAATATAGAACTGGCGCACATACAGGAGGGGGAAACCGGTAGATTTGGTACATGGGGTTAGGGGAATTTGGCCGCCCGATAAGGAAAGGTGAGAGAAGAGAAGGAGAAGTTCTGTATTGAGCTGCGCCACTTTCTTCGCTTGAACAGATCTGATGAGGGTGTGGTGGCTGGAGCTGGGTGGTTGCATTCGCGAAACTTCGGGTGACTGGGTTATCGGTGGAGTGAGTGGGCACGGTGTGTGTCACAATCGGGAGCTTACCCGGAATCCTCATTGGTCCCCAGCGAGGCTCAGGGTGGCAGTGCTATATCATAGAGTTACACGTACTGCACGGTAGAACGCCATTTCCCAAGTTCCACTTGGTGGGGTCTGGAGAAACCGGATGCACGGTATTTGACTATCTACCTATTATTTACAGGAAAAAAAAAGTACATTATTACGGGGGCAATTCTAAGACGAATTAGAGCCTTGGGGTAAGGCCCCTTCTCCACCATCACGGTAGAAAGGCAGGCCACCTTCCCCTCAATTTCGCCAATCCTCGCTTCTCTATTGGCAAGTTAGGAGCCCGACGCATTTTTTCTGAGCTTTTCTCTTGATGTACTCGTATTCCCCAGGCTTAACTCGCGTTTTTGATGCTCTTGCGCTCCTTTTTTGGACTGATCTATCTGTTTGCTTATTGGGGAGCAGAGGGTCACAAAAACAGGGGAAATTTTACGGGTTCCAAAGAAGGGAAATTGAGAATAATTAATTATTGTGCTTTGTAGAAGAGAGTGGAGTTGGCTAGTTTTTGAGGGAGTGCTATCAGAAGCTATGTACATAGTTTGGGATGCCGGGAAGGCTGATTCCTAGGACAAACCTCAGCCGCTGAGCTATTTCTCGGTGTTGTTGGACTCGACCCCACCCCCCTTAGATATTAGTAGCCCCCAATACCTTGACGTGGGATACCGTCACTGGCGTGTATCCCCACGCCCAATTATCCCAAACCAGCCTCTCGAGGGATTCGTGGATATTCACTCTCTACTCGTATCCGCCCCCCCTTACTCCATCACCGCTATGCCTTTGCAAAACACAATCTCTCACCCAACGCCAAGCACCTAGGGCTTGTTTTGAGCCTTCCACTCCCGGATAACCTCATCCGCCTCATCCCTACTCTTGCCGTGAATATTCACATAATGAGTCTTGAAATTATCGACCCTAGTGAATCTCGAGGCGCTTTTGCAGCCGGGCTCCTGGCATATCGGCCCCTTTGGACGGGAATGCACCCTGGATGTGTCCAGGTGCCTCTTCAAGTCCGCCGGACGCGAACACCTTATTCCGCAGGGACGGCAACTGAGAGGGTCAGGGCCGAGATCGCAGTCGGTGGTGGCGAAGGGGGTTGGGTAGAGGGGACTCAAGGGGCTGTTAGATTGGAAATGTGGTATACAGTTAGCCCGCAATTCCAAGTATAGGCTCTTAGGAAGAGGTGGGGGAATATGAGCCATTTGCCTACCTGCCATCCTGGGTAAAGGCATCAATATTGCCCCAATGTATTGCGCTGGAGTGGTTTGTCTCGATGCCACCATCGGAGTCGGGGCTGGCGGATCGTGAAGATAGCTCAAGCGTACTGGGCAGGTCACCGGCATTTGGGAAGATGACTGGAATTGGCTCTGGTGCGCGGTGGCCATGGTTGTGGGTCCTAGGGTCTACGTTGGTCTGATGACTTGGGTCGAGATTTGCGCTGCCCTCGGGAAAATTGTGCTGGTTGTGATTATATTGAGACATTTTCTGTGTTTCGCGACTCGTAATTGCAAGGAGGAAGGCTTCGAGGGTAGAGGTTTTTTTCATGGAATTTCCAAGAGTTGGGGAGGGGAGGGGTTTTATGCCGGATTGTCAGCCTCGTCGGGGAGGGTGCGAAATATAAGCCGTACTTGGTGGTGGATAGTCACCCCATCGGTGGGGGAAAGTGCGAAGCGCACACAACCTATTGCAGGATCTGCACATTGCGGTTGATAAATACCTCCGGGGTCTCGTAGCTGTACTCGGGTGTAGACAGGACCCCCTCGGCGTCTAGGGGGTTGGAGATTGCTTTTGTGGGTAGTTTTCAAGAGCCTTCCCTTCTCCATTCATGGCCCACCCACTTTATTTCTCGGAGTGGGCCATTATTGGCCGCTGGTGTCCCCGATTTGTGCGCGTAAGGTAGAGTGATCTTCGGGGGCTGGAGCAGGGGTTTCCGAACCACTCCAAAAGCATCCGGTGCCGTATATCACTAGTAGGGGAATCTTGTTGAAAAAAGCGGGGACCTGTGTAAACTAACGAGGTCTGATATAGCAGGCCCCGAAATTCCTGTACTGTGCCTAGGACCTTGTAAATCCATTGCCTCAAGGGCTGGGTTGTTAGGGGATGACCTCAGGTCCTCCCGAATCCTCCTCTTTGGATTAAGGTGGGAATCCGGCGAGAGTGTCCTCTGTAGCCCTCGGTTGAGATAATAAATAAAAGGAAGATTACAGCACAATAGACCATTCTTGGAGGTGCAAGTCCAGCGTCTTCGCGAGATCCTCAATTATTCTAATTTTTAAAGTGCTTGGGTCGCTGGGTAGAGTTTGCATCTTTTCCAAGCCTTATGGTTCGAGCGGACGAGTTTGGACGAGGCTGAGGAAAGGGTGGAGTGTTACGTCGCTTAGCGGTTTCCCGCGCCAAGACCTCAATGGAAATACTCGAGGGCTATGAATAGGGAGTACGAGTAGAGTATTGGTACTCACATGATATCATATGTATCAGACCACATAAAGGATTATAAAATAAAAGTTTTACAAAATGCCAACTAACCTCCGTTTCCACTTCGCTAATGTGGTGGCTTTCCTATTTATACTTTATTGCATTAAAAAAGTCCCATAATCAATGGTTAACATCCTACCAGTAAGTATTCCTTATACGATATCATACCAAAATCTGTATGCTGGTATTGCATGGATGCAAATGTTTGCAGAAATAGTCTTCAACATAATCACGCATTACAAGCGATATACAAGATGTTATCATTTCTTATGATAAGAGTTAGGTTCTATTGTGGTCGATGACACTTTAGCGATACGAGAATTTAGATAACTATTCTTGGCAGAGATATTGATGACTAAGGCAGGTAAACCGAAATTTTGACCATTACACTGTGAGTGTATGTACCACATATTTTACTTTCCTACAAAAAAACCTCTGTGTAGCTCTTTTTTTGTCTTCTCCATCTCGGAGGATTTTTGAAAGTTATACATGCGTTGGTTGGTAAGTTGTAATCTTTGAAAATCCCTTAAATCATGGTGCAGGTTCTGATCTTCTCAGGCCATACGATGCCACACACCATACAGGGTACGAGTATAATAGCGGACATGAAGCGGAGACTCTCTGTGCTTGACAAATATTAAGCCATCACGCGCTTGATGTGACCCTAGGGTTTGTTAAAAAAAAAAAAGCTGCTTCTATCATAAGTCACTACCCCAATTACAGCGATTCCCCAGGTGCGGAAGTCCTGAGGGGCCGGGAGGGGGACTGCTAAGTGTTAAGGATAAGATTAGACAATCCCCCACAGCCGGTCACGCTCGTGGTACCCCGGGGGTAACCGTCTCCGGGTCAGGCAGCGGGCCCTATGGTGCGATGCTGTGACGTTTCTGACCCGGACCGCGGGGGACACCGTGGGTGATGCTTTTTGAGTTCAGTTCTCTATGAAGTGAATAAGCAAGCGGAATGAGTTTGCCTATGCGGAGACCCTCGAAGTTTAGCTTGTGAATCCGGCTTCGGCTGAGGAATGCACCTTCTTTTATCTACTGCTACGACACAAGCATGATGCTAATTTTTTGGGCACCCCACAGCGTGAGGAGGAGCTGAAGGGTGGCCGGGTTAGTAGCTACACTCCATAGCGCTACATGATGGCGGGATACTTATTGACAGGAACAAGACGTGTCAGGCCTGGGTTGCGTGGGGCTACTGTGAGGATGTTAGTTGGGAGTGATAGGGTTAAAGGATGGTGGGAAGAGAGAGGAAACGACGGCTAATTGGGGTATCATAGTTAAATGCTTCATCTAGGCCGCTTGGACCCAGTCTTTCTAGCCCTTGGCAGTCCAAGCCTAGGGCCTTCGGACACCCAAAAGGGTCGGACTATCTCCTGCGGCCAATCCCGGCCCAACTCTAGGCCGAACTAAGTGGACCGTCACTAGCACTCCCGGTGCTGGTGATACCTGAATAGTTTCTAATGGGATTAATGATTGTTCCGCTGTGTAAATGGGAGACGTACTAGCGTTTTCTCTTAGAGTCAATTAATGCCTTGTGTGTCGGCAGTGTTCGCAACGGGGCAGTCCGTCAGTCCTGAGGGCGGGACAAGGACGGACTGCAACTCATAGTCTATCCAGTCCTGAAAAGAATTTTTCCCGGGGCTTTTGGCAATGGGGCGGGGAAGACTATGGGGCACCACAGCTAGTTGATAAAATTTCCCAGATTGTATGGTCCTACGAGGCCCCATGGAAAGGTTGCTACCTACAGATCCCCGCAGATGCCCGCAAATCCCCATGGACCCCTACCGTCCTCTGGTGAAAGTCTGTAATTCCTGGCCGTCACCTGTAGTCCTTGTACCGGGATAGCAAAATTATGTATGCATCAGCATATCGGGCCGGTGTTCCCCCCCAAAGCCTGTGGACCCCAATGTCGCCCGGACTGGACGGACTATAAATTTGTAGTCCCGTCCAGTCCAGCCTTCTTGGCAGTCTCCCCATGTCTCCAGAGCCCCCGGATCACCGCGAATACTGTGTGTCGGTAGGTGTGAATTGGTATTACCGCGAGTGAGAAAGAAGCTTGATTTTTTCTGCAGCATGCGCGGCTGTGGGTTTTTGAGCCGGGCTGACAGTCGGGACAGAAGAAATATCGGAAAGCAGAGGTTGGTAATAGGAGAACTTCCGGAACACCGCGGATGATGAGCTGTACCAGTAAGGCGAAGTAATACTACAGTTGAATATAGTATAGTTGTGAGACGAGCAGAGAAGGGATGAGGAAAAACTCAAACAGCGGCTAACATTAAAAAAAAAGCGAGGTGAGGAAAGTACTAAGAGGAGCTAGATGAAAGGAACCTAGTCAATTTGGTGGACGAGCACTAAATCCCACAGTAGGCTCCAATGGTCGACGAGGGAGAAAATTACGAATGGGGTCTCTGCATATCTTTCCCCGGTCTCTCATTCCCGCTCCTCTACTCGTGCCCCCTTTCCTTTATCAATTGCCATAATTCTCGCTTTCCCCTTATCGCTCGGCCAAGCCCTTCCACATCTGTTCTACGATATCATGGGCTATGACTCGCTAAGTCTGTAAGGAAACTAGAAATGTTCGAATGAGACGAAAGGCGTTGAACAAGATACTATAACTGAGGTACAACACTTGTATATCTGTATAAGGAATAGGACAGTAGATTGTGTTGTTCCCAAGGGAGGGGGGTATTTGGCCGCTAGAGGGAGAAGGGGGGAGAAGGGGAGGTTTTATCATATCTCGGAGTAACTTTATGCCGTTGGTCCGGGTGTGGGCGCTAGATGGTGGTAGGGGGTGCAAATGGGGGGTTGGGTTGTAATCCCAGGTGTGAAGTGCAAGCCTTTAGCCTAGATGTGCGGGATCTTTGTCGGAGCCGCGATTGGTTTCGAATAAGGCTCGGTGTTGTAGTGTTAGAAACAGAGTTACACGAATAATGTGATGATGCCGTCTCTAGGACCCACCTAGCACAAGGCGACAAGACTCGATCCATCTGTTTCTGTAACCTATCGGAAGGGGGGAGGCACGGTGGATAAGAAAATGAGGTAATGGGGAAAATACACGAAGAGGGCTATCCTGAGGTGAATTCGTACTTAGGAAATACCATCCATCCTCCACCACCGGAAAGGTTGGCCACCCCTCCCGCAACATCAAGCCTCGTTTTCCTCCTTCACAATCATAGCATTTCCTCTCTGCACCTCATTCTTTGGCCCCTATTCTAGCGCCTGTGGGGCCCTGGTTAATCCTTCCAGCATTTCTTCTGCCTAGAAAAGTCCGCGTTGTATTTCGAGGCAGACACTTTGGAGTTTGTTGAGAAAATGATTGATATGGAGGTAATGATCGGTGGTGAGGGTTTACGCAGTGGAGTAGAATCACGCAAGTGGAGATAGGAGGTTTCACTCAGGTGAAGAGAAAGACCATGATTGATTGCTTAAAGATAACTGAGATGAAGAAGATGAGGAGAGAGGTAAAGTACAGGAAGATGTTCCCTCGCAAGAGAGGACCGAAGAGAAGAAAAGACAGGGATGAGAAAAGTTTGCATGGCATACGCGTCTTACAGGGGTGCAGACATATGCTACTGACGCCTTCATGTATGAGCACATCCCGCATCAAGTGCGGCCATCTACTGCTATTTCCAACAGAGTTCCTTCTCTTTAGGACGAGTGACATTCTGTGATTCCACGTTTTTGACTCATGGAGTGGTTATTCCATCAAGTTGGTGACAGCACGGATGTCCAGTAAAGAGAGAAATGTATAGGAATATACAAGCTAGTGTAAGGGTGGTATGACTTCGGTTATAGTGCTGCTTATGGCATGAGAATGTCTTTGGCGGTCCTCCTGCAGAAGGGGTGTTTTTTCAGTATTTCACTCAGTTATGCTAGCTAGTATCACGGCTGTGTATTTTTGTTCACCCCGCTTCCCCCTGTTTTAGCTCTTTTCCGCAATATTTAGGCTTCATGTACTCGTGCTCCCCGGGGTTGACCTACTCTTTGCAGCTCTGAAGTTGTCCTCACTGGCTTAAATTTCGCTTTCAAACGGATCAAATGTCT